CAGCAGAGACCAAAAGACTGGGAAGGACTGAGTTCAGACAACCGATCAGCCTGCTTGCTGCAGGTACTTCATTTTTGTTGAAAGCGCTGCAAAAATTACTTTGTACAGCTGTGGACACAGAGCGCTGACCAGTTCAACCCTTCTCACCAATTTCAGACTGCATACCACAGAGGCCCTGACTCAAAGTTGCAGAAGTTGTGGTGATCCCTTAACTTACATTGAAATATATGCTGTTAAAAGATCCAAATTTATGCAAGTCCCAGTTCTTTATAGAAAATCATGCTCTATATTGTACGGTCAAGAAACAAAAGAAGTTTCCAATTCTGATAAAGGTCAGAGCAGCAACTGCTCTGGTTATTTAGGAAAGGCCTCAGGCTCCCACTTTCAGGTCCTAGTGCTCAATTATCTTTCTCTGTTTGCAGGGACGCTGTAGCTAGAGCCACTGCTGTAACTGGCTGCGCAATCCCGTGGAGCTGCATCTTGGCTAGTTTCTTCTGCTCACATTCCGTGACCAACCGATTCAACTCTGCTGCGCTGTAGCCGATGAGAGTTTTCAAGTCGCAGACAAACTTGTACACAAACCTCTTGCCTTGCACTTTGCAGATCATGTCTCCGTCATAGTAATACCTGTAAAAAGAACAGGGGGGAAAAAAAAATAAAGAGACAATATTTGTAAATTTTCAGCATCTGTAACTTCCACACGCATCGGTTATTTACTTAAGGTCACTCGGAGGCCAAAGTATGAATCTTTTTCTCATCAAAATTCTCATGTAATTTCATATACCAAGATACTGTTTAGGCATTTTCTTATATGAGAAAAGGGAAGAGGGTTGAAATTTGTCCCTGCACCTTGATACGTTAAGGAGAAACAAAACATAGTAATTATTTGATAGGCAGTTGAAAGCACCAGTTCAGAAATGAAGGTCTCGGAGCAGTTTAAAAACAGCTTGAGGGGGAGTAAGTTTTATATAGTGCTTTGCCTTAATAAGAAAACGTTGTCTCCCCCCTCATTATTGTCCTTGGCTTTCTTTACTCTTGTCTCTGCTTTTCTGAGGAAAAAGTTCACGTTGGAAAGAGTTTGAAAATTAGCATTGTAGTTTCTGTGATACTGAAGCAGCCGTTCTCTCCCTATTGTTTTCAAAGATGGAAGTAAAACTATAAAAGCATGTTTGGTTTGGGTTTTTGGTTTTTTTTTTTTACAGTTCATATGCTGGCAAAACTACATCCTTCACCTTTATTTACAACTAAAAGTGACTTCTCTAACTATGAATACTTTTTACACTGCGTCACAAAAGAATTATCAGACTGGGCAGAAATGCAGTAAAGATAACAAAGTCTATAATGACCCACTGTACTCCAGAGACATTATAAAACTTTAGGTGATACCAGTAAAAGAAGTTAGAATTTTACAGTTTTGTTGCTGATCTTGTCTCACTGCAGGCATTAATAGAATGCATGTTATCTTGGACTTGATGAGCATTACAAGCTTGTGATAAATTTGGAAAAAATAAAAACCAAAACCAGACAACCAAACAACCAAAAAAATAATCACACAATTTAATTTCCTCAAAACCATCACCCAAATGTAGTACAAATGAGCCCAGATTTCTTGACTGTTTATAACTCAATCCTCTGAGTGACATGCTTGTAAAGGAAAGATGATTCCCATTCACCAGCAAAATTAAGTCAATTAAAAGACCAACTTCTGTCTCCCAGCTCTAGTGGCAAAGAGGTTAAGTCACTAAGAACCCAACCAAATTTCTTCAGACACCTCAAATTCTGAAAAAAGGCCTTTTAATTTCTTACTTTTGAGGATCTGGATCTAAGCAACAGGACCAAAGCAAAGAAAGGATGAGAGGTAGACTATGTAGAAAAAAACGTTGGCAAGCCCGCTGGTTACTGACACCATGCAAAGAGCCACAGAGGTCTGTTACGGAGTACAAGAACTGCCAAAACAGCTTGCGATTGCTCTGTGGGCAAAGAAAGTTTGGTCCGTTTGCCAAAGCTCTCCTTCACCTTTCTCCTGAATGACATACAGCTACATAAAAGCTTCCTCTTCCGTCCTTCTCCTCACTCCAACCCCTCAAGCTAACACCTGCGCCTCCCTCAACTCCGTTTTCTTCTCCACATCATTACGCTTGTTCTTAACTGCTACTCCACTGCCACTCAGCACTTCTCCGCACCAGCCCTATCCTAACAAAGCATCTTCCTGGCACCAGCTGAAGGATCTGTTGTTGTATGGTGTCCATCACATTCAGCCTCCTAGTGAGGCAATGAGGTTTAGTTATAAGGGGTTAGATGAACCCTGCAACCTAGAGGGTGGGATGATAATTTATGTTCCGCTTTGAAGTACAGCCTTGCAGCACTGGGCAGAATTGGGGAAGGATGAGGGTTATCCTGGTGTATCCCTTGCGTGTGAAATACAGTATAGCTTAGAAAAATACAGTATAGTTTGGAGCGTGGGAACACTGGGCAGGCATTCATGTTGAATGTGACAGGGTACTGGACATAGAGAAATGGGGGAACTGGGAGCTGTGCTCACCTGGGTCAATAAGAAGCATCTGCAGAAAGCCCGAGTATGCAAGATGTGGCCATGACATATGATTAAGTGCCTCTGGCCAAGGTTGGGTTTTGGTTTGTTTGTTGTTTTTTTTCCTTAAGTTATTTAACTCTGTACAATAATGCCTGTCTCAAAATAATGCTGTAGAAAAATGCTTTACAAAACTGAATAAATTTCTTTAAATTATTTAGTCCGCATTACTGATATGGTCAGAAAGGAAAAAGACCACAAGAAATTAGTCCGCATTTATACGAAGGCCCAAGACCGTGCAAGATTCCCACATCTCATGCTAGAAACACTCAAGTTAGAATTGAGGCAATGGTGAGAGGATTTTTTCAATATTATGTTGAATGCATTTCTGATTCCAGCACTTGCTTATTCAAAAATATCAAAAGCTAAAAATAAATAAAAATAAATACCCATGCAAGTTTACAAAGCCTTAGTTACTGGAATGTTCCGAGTCACATGAAAACTTTGTTTCGGAATAATTCAGATTAATTATTTTTCTTCAAGTCTCACTTCCCTACTGGATAACTAAGCGTATGTTGATTTTAGAAAATTTACCAAGGTGTATGTAACGAAAAAAAGCTGCTCTTCTGTTTTTCACCCTGCCCTAGCTTCTATACTGCCTGGTTTTCCTACAGCTGGGCAGCAGAGCTAGCACATTTCTCAATAATATCAACATCATTTTCTGTATAAACCAACAATTGACACAGTAATTTCAGTATGTTAGTAAACAAAACATATTACCATTTAATAAAACTTTAGCTTGGCAACAGTGTTTATCATGGGTGTAGCAAGAGGCATGAAATATCCCTTCAGACACTCAAGTGTTAGAAAACATGTCAATATTGATGCAGCTGCCAAAATGGCAACATTTTGAGGAATATGATTTCTGTAATTCTGTGACTAAAATATAAATGCAAAACTTCTCTAATAGTGATTTATGTAAATTACTGTGCAGACATCTGTTTAATATCCCAGTGCTAAGAACATTATTCTAAAGTTCTTCAGCTGCCTTTGAGATCTTCTGCGGAGTTTGACAAAACCCAAAAAACATTAGCATCATTTACATCATTTTTACGTTCCAGAAAGTTTTCACATATACCTTCAGTACACAAACACACAGATTCACAAAACCAGGTTGGAAATATGGGAATGGTATTGCAACAATACAGGCTGGGGAGCAGCTCTACTGGAAAGGCCCTGCTTTGGGCAGGAGGTTGGACCAGAGACCTCCTGAGGCCCTTCCCACCCAAGGGATTCTGTGATCCTATGAAAAAAGTAACATTCTGATTTAATATATAAATAATGCAAGAACAGCCATACAAGACCAGACTAAAGATCCATCTAGAACAGGATATAGACTCCAACAGACCAAAAGAGGACACCTAAGGAAAAGCATGATCGTAGCGTAAGCATATATCGATGCTATTCCGTGCTTTCAATGATCTGGGGCTCAGGAACTTCTAGAAGTTGCATCTTTCCATACCTAATATCCTTCAAAATATTTCTTTTCCATTAATTTGTGCACTTGCCTCTCAAACTCATAAAATAATTCTGGCATCCACAATACTCTGCCTAAAGAAGTTACAGGACAAACGAAAGGGTATAGTTAAGCTGTGTATCTGGTGCCTGCCAGTTTCTTCTTTCTGAAGATCTCTCTCATGTACATGAGATACCGAGCAGTCATTCTTTACTGACTCTACGCCATTCATGGTCTTCTAGACTTCAATCTCCCCCAGTGAAAGTACTCATTCAGCTTTATGCATACTGATGTTATTTAAATCCTCCCTAAAAGACTAAAGAAAGCCAGAATACGGTAACTTTACCATCATTTCTCATAGAGGTATTTTAAAATAGAAGTTGATTTTTTTTTTTTTTAAACAATGCTAGATGAGTTTACTTCCTTTAAAAAAAAATGTAGCCAGAGGTGGAAATGCTGAAAAGTAAGTCTTAGATCTCAGACTTCAACCAATATGCAACTTCACTCATATAAAAAGAGTTCATAAAACTGCTCAAATAATTTGCAGGATTAGGCAATAAATACCTTTCTTGAAAACTAATAAAAAGAAATAGATTTAACCATATCAGAATAAGAAATTAGAAGTTCAATCTTAATGATAGGCCAAAATAATCAGGGAGAAAAAGTCTAAAATTCAGGTACTTGCGTTCTTCTCCCTCCTCAAGCACATCACCTACAGTGATACAATAACACAAGTCCCTTTTACCAATGTCAAACTACAAAATCACAATGGAATGCAGACAGCCTGAAATGCTTCCATTTCTTCAGATGATAAAAGTTCACTATGTTGGAGTCACAACAACTGTTGAAACTCACCTGTCAACTGTATTTTTCAATTTAACATCCCTACCATGAGAATAGTGGAATGGATCAATGAATATTTGAACTTAGAAAAAGTTTTGTAACATACACAAAAAATTGTTACATACAGAAAACTACTAACGATTACGTAACTACAGGAAAATATAAAAACATGTCAATTATTCAGAGTATTCACATATTTCTGTATCTTTCGCCAATAATCAATACTGTTTAGCACACTACTGAAAGCATAAATGCTGAAGATACGTCAAAAAGAAATATATTTCCGAAAGTGAGCTACCCAAATTAACTATCATGTCAGTGTTCAATAATCTTGAAAAAAGAAAATATATTTTCAAGAAGTTATTGTACTAGCTTCTTTGAAAAGAAAAGAACAAATACCTTGCCCCTAAGACTAGTACAATCTGATGGGCAGGAGTAGCTTCAGAGGATCTGTTTATGCCTTTACTAAAAAAGCTGCAAGTCTTGCATTATGATAGTTAAAAATAAAGTAGCCAAGGGGAAGGAAATCACTTCATACCTGATCAGTTCCTAAAGTTTCTTACCTCAAAGCCCGACTAAGCTTCTCATAGTTCATTGTGGGTTTGTTTTTGCGCTGTCCCCATTTTTGCGCAACCAGTTCAGGCTGATTCAGTTTAAACTCTCCTTCATCACCAACCCAAGAAATACAGTCCCGAGCATCTTTGTCTGTGAGAAGTTCTAATAAAAACTGCCACAACTGGATCTGGCCATTGTTTCCTGTTGAAATAGGAATAACAAGATCCATTTCAATTAGTCCTTTTTATGTTCTGCTCATAGCTAAAATTTTCAACCAACATATTAAAGCAGACCAACATAGAATATATGATGGAAGGAAAACTTGCACTTAATCAATTTCTTGTAATTGTTCTTTTGTAAACATTTTCCTGCAAAGTCATCAGTATTAATCCATTAAAAAAGAAACTAATGAATGGAGAAAAAAATAACCAAGATTTCTCATAAATCTGTTCCTAGAACTTAAGAAAAAAAAAATTATAGGACACTACACATAGTCATTTAGACACATATCTATCCCTAAAATAGAACAGTTTTACCAAGAGCTGCTTATTCCTCTTCAGGCACATATTACATATATACGTATATATGTAATAGAAGTTGGATTTTTTTAAAAAATAGTTTAGTCTCCAATTTTCAACATGAAATATTAGAAATACAAATAAAACCCCCCAACTTCACCTTACGTCAGTATAACATCTTTCATGTCCAATCATTAAGATTTCTTTTTAAGTATCTGCAGCTAAATTCCTGAATTCTCAATGAGATACAGACAGAAGACCTAATGTCTAAAGGGAGAAACACAGAGTATTCCCCACTGATGTCAGCCGATAAAATCTTGGCCTAAGAATCCTGAATGACATCATAATAGACTTTTATGGAGAGTTTAAAGCAAATAAAAACTCAAGGGAAAGGAGAGGAAAGGATTTAACAGAAAAATTCACAACAGTGGAGAGAACCAAAGCAAAAAAGACAGCAAGAAAAAATAAGATAAAGAAATTACGATAAATTATTAATAATTGAAGAGTATGTATGAATAACAGTAATTCCAAAAATAAACTGCAGATTTAGTGTGCAGTTTTCCAGAACGTGCATTCATTTAACAAAACAAGAAATCTGAAACTTGCTAAAGCCTACAGTCACCAAATTGCGGGGGGAGAGGGGAGGAGGAGGGGAACAAGTAGGGCAAGTAGTAGCTAGGCTAGGATTCTACAACATACAATTTATTTTCTCCCCTTTCTGCAAAGGGAAAGCAGAAAGAAGTTAAAAGCTTGAATAAATGCTATGCAGTGGTTTGAGAGGACAGACTGTTAAGTGATAGGAAGAGAAACAATTTTATGCATTTTATTTACTGTGGGACTCAAAAGCTGCAGCACCACATTAACACAGTGCCTGTGTGAGCTAACCAACCTGCCAGGTCTGCATGTGCTTGTGATGTACTTTGTAGCTGCAGTCCCCTTTGTACCACATGGACTTCTACAAACCTCACATTCAGAGTGACAGAGATGCGTTCTACAAAACTGTAATTCAAATTAATGAGTGTTTACTGCATTTGCATTTAAAAATAATGGAGACAATACCTGTTCTGTTCCCAGGGGAACTTCTATCTTCCCCAGAGATCCTTGGAGCTCTCTGTACTTTAGCTGCCTTTGCACTGCTGTTTATTACTTTAATGGTGGTTGGGGTAGCAGGCTGTACAGATGCTGGAATAATCTGCACAGCTGTAAAGCAGAGAACATTGCAGACATCAATTATAAACTGCTAGCACAGAAATAGGCAGATATTATTTATTACCTGTATTATCGTAACATCTAGGAGCTAGTTTTCTCCTTTGCTAAAAAGACACACTGTGTAAGTCACAATGCTAAGAATAATTTAAAGACTTTTTACCACTTACAGTGGAAATTGTGGTTTTAGACTCGTAGTAGAGATGCCACATTACAGATGAAACATCATCTTTAGTTTACTATCATGCGTATTACATGTTTCCATAAAAAAAAAAAACCTCGTGCCTTTGTTTTCATCTTTATGCTCTTCCCATACAATCTACCCTAATGCACTTTTCTCTGTCGTCACTGTACAACCCTCCATACGTGCTACACAAACAGCAATTAAATACCCTTCTATTGCTATGGTGTAAGAGGATGCAAAAGCCCCACTCGAGGTGGCTTTAACTAGACACAAACCCAGAATGTAATACACAGTCTATCTATTTAACATATAAGCTGCTTACAAGTCCTGTGAAAATTGATTCATTTTAATAATTGATGACACTGCTTCAGCTGGAAGAATGAGTTTCAAATAACTGGAAAGTTACTTTAATGTATTTTTTCTAGTATTGTTTTCTAAGCAAGTCCTCTCTTCCACACTCCCTTTCAGTTTTTGGAAACATTTTCTTTTGAAATCGTAACATTTTAAGATATCTATTCATTAATGCAATGCATAACCTAAAAAACCAGAACAACTCAAGACCTCAAATATGTACCCTAGACAGCTTATTTCAAAAGAGCGGAAAACCTACCATCCAAAATTAAAGTTAGAAACTTTCATAGTTCAGGTCACACACCACCTTTCAGACAATAACAAAATATCGAGAAACCCAACGTTTTGCTTTGAAGTTTAAAATATGCCCTCCTCCCCTCACCAAGGAAAACTACTCTCTCGAGTGATTTTCTAAATGTTGTACTATTATAGCGCTGAACCAAAGTCCAGTGCTAAACCTGCAAACAGTTCTGTGTGAATTAACTGCTGGCAGAAGTACTTACGCTGATCAATAGTAACAGTTGCTATTTCTCCAGAGTGTTCTTGGCTAGCCAACACATCTGCAAATTAGGAGGAAAAAAAAAAAGTAACTTTTTATTTAACCCACATATTTCAAGTCACCCAAAGATCAAAAACTTTCATATGTCATAGAGGAAAAAAGTCAAAATTTGGTATCAGTTTGCAAGAGACATGCATAGCTCATGGTCTTATGAGAAGAGACATTTAACATCTGTCATTCAATTTTTAGAAATAAGGATGTACATGGTGAATTTCAAGGTATCTTATGCATTCTCCGTCCCCTAAAACCTTTAGCTATATCATGTAAATGAAGATGGAAACAGTTTTTACTCTGCCAAGTTACATCCAAGCATGGTAAATCTGAAATGCACATATACATTATTGTATTATGCACATACACATTATTGTATTATGCACATACAATGCATCACTTATCGGTTGTGTTGTGTACAATCTAAGGATTTCATTGCCTATGCTTAATAATCTTCACTTCTATATGACGCAGATATGTACATTAAATAATTCACAATCAATATTTAATTACAAGACTGTCAAATTCAGGAGATGGCAAACTAAAAGTCTTTATTAAAACAAAGGAGGAATCATCAGTCACTACTTCCTCCCTATTAGTTATAAAGTTTGATGAAAGACGGGCAAACAGTGTTTGGTATGCTGACGTGTTTCACAATAGCAGACATTCTCACTAATACCTCCTGTTATCTTGTATTGATGCCCTCATTTTTACTGCCAATAATAAACAGAGGAAAAACAACTGCTCACAACTGGTTTCATCTTTAAAGAAAGAAAAAAAGAATGAGAGAAGGGGGGACGGGGAATAAGTAAAATCAGTTACAGAAAAATCTCCCATACACTTTCGAAGAAGCTCCAAATGGCTCCAGAGGATTTCTCCCCGCGGGACGCGCTGGAAGAAGTCTTCTTGACTGAGGCTGCAGAGCTCCCGCCCGGGAATGCTGAGCGCATTGAGGTCAATGTCAGTCATGCTGAACTCCTTCATCACCCACACCACCCAGTGGAGCACCTGGTCTGTCGACCACTGCACTGGGTCTGGGAAAAGAGAGACAAAACTGCACGTCACCCCATTATATACTGCAAGGCTCCTCCACACTTGAGGATACAGAGCGAGTCCTTGCTGTAATTGACAAGAAGAATGAAATACAAGTGGCTACTGATCCACAGCATTCAAACAAGCATAACCCAGAGTTCATTTTTTTTACGACTTTTTCTGAAGGCCTTTTAAAAAAAAAACTTTATTTAGGGAGTTCTTGTTATCCATTTATTTATTTTTTAAAAAGGGGCTGCTTCTAGGCCAGTCAGTGCTGCTATTCAGTTAAAGTCCAATGATGGCATGTTTTCAATTATATAATAACTTCCATAAAAGAAAATACACAACATCATGAAGTGTAGTTACCATGACCAAATCTGACTGGATGGAAAGTTGACTCCTCTTAAAATGCTGATGGAGTGGTGTTGCTTGGTGGGGAGATGGAAAGGGCAAAAAAGGGATTTTCTTTAGCGAAAGCTTTTACGTTGGAACTATGCCTGACATTTCTCAAACACATAAAATAATTATTTTTCTTTTTCCATAGGTCTTTAGTTTCAAAAAAGAGTAGTCTCTCTCACACCAGGATGCTCTTCCTCAAATATGTTGATCAGCATGTGATTATGATGAAATATTACATTCTAAACTCATTCACATTAACCCAGGTTCTAAACTATTTAAAATCACCATTGTGCTGGGATGGAGTTAATTTTCTTTATAGCAGCCCATATGGTCCCGTGTTTTAGGTTGGTGACCAAAACAGTGTTGGTAACACACTGATGTTTTAGCTACTGCTAAGCAGTGCTTGCGCAGAGTCAAGGTGTGACTAAAGCCTTAGGGGTGGAACGTGACTCCCCTACAATGGAAGAAGGCTCAGAGCAAGGGTGAAGTGCCCATGCAGCTCAGAGAATAATGCAAAGAAGCTGACTTTATCTCAACAGAAAGGAGGTGGAGGGTGGCCTTTGTTTTAGATAAACAGCTATCAACAGCTGAGTGGATCAACTGGTGGTGTAAACGTCTCCTTGAGCCAGCCAGACCAGCATGGGGGGAGTGAATACATTGCTCAGCCCAACGTAAGAGTACACAAACTAGACAACTAGCAAAAGAATTTCGAAGAGAGCAATAGGCTTGGGCTGGTTTCAACCCGCGCATTCCTTCCCGGCAACTGGGGACACCCAACATCGTGATGGTGAGCGTATTATATAGAGACCGGTAATGGGAATCACGTTGGTATTGTGATTGAACAGTGTATTGCAATTGCCGCATTTTTCTAAGCGTAACTTACCTTTGTATTGTGTTTTTAATAATTTGTATCACTCTGCTAAATCATAAATCCCATGTAACATCAACCATCTTCAAGTAAATTTGATATTAAACATTACACCCTCCACGTACGGAATATCTAAAAGAAGCTGGTCAGAGAGTATTGGACTCTGACACAAGGCCTTCTCTGTTTCTCACTCGGCCACCCCAGCGAGTAGGCTGGGGGTGCACAAAAAACTGGGAGGGGACACAGCCAGGACAGCTTATTAAATTGCTTTTATCTTGACCCATGATTTTATTTTGTTTTTAAGCTCGCTTTGGCCCTTTTGATTCTTTCCCCCATGCCTCTGGGAGGGGAAGTGATCAAGTGACTGGGTGGAGGCTCATCTGCCAGCTGGGGTCAACCCACCACACAGGTGGGCTAATAAACATGCACTGGATATATAGATAAAAATATAAAACAGTAAGTGTAATACACCACATCTAGAAAGACCACATTAAATAAGCCACTAAACCAAGACTTGATACAATAGGACCCAATGCATGCCTGTATTTGAATCAAACAAGCCCCAGCATCAAGTTTTGGGATGCCTGTTTGACATTTCAACAGAACACAACATGCATATCATTTAAATACTAGTGCCAAACACACAAAAGTACAGGCAACTCACACAGCAGAGGAACACACAGAAATGGTAATAAATAATCAACTCAAGATATGTGCCATACATGATTTGTTGACTCGGGACATTTTAACATAAAAAGCCTGTTGTTTCAAGCAGTATTAGTGTGAACAAGCTAGAAAGAGGATGGGTAAATCCAAGCATAATTTTCAAAACTTTGTTAATATTGTATGCAATATATTAAAACATGTCAACGAGTACGAACTGGAAAGAGAAACTAAAGTAGGGATATTTACTTTCACTGTCTCAAGGGCAAAAAACAGGAGCAGAACAACTATGTATTTTTAAATTACAACACCCCAAACAGATGTCACCTTGATAAGTTTTTATTTTAAGAATTAAAGAAAGCAAAGCTTTCTAAGTCTATAAACATCATCTAGAAGCCACAAATTCCATTTTGCTTAATAAAGGACAGTAACATTGCATTATTTTTCACTGATGCTACCTAAAACCATGCAATGTAATCCTTTGGGAAAAGCCACACCAAAAGGGTTTTGGTCTTCAAAACATTATCAGCAGTGAATTTTCATCAAAAAGCTGGTAATTTGTTCTCATTGACAGAACATAATCTGCAAGGTAACATGAATCATTACTTTCTCCAACCAGTTCCGTGGTTTCCAAGCTTTCTGCTGCTCCCTGTTCTGGCTTTATTTCTCATACCAATTAATATTTTCCTTCTTCCTAGGGACCTTTGCAATGGTACCAAATTTTTGGATTTTATTAGAAGAAATACCTTTAACAGCTAAGAATTTGTAATCTCTAGTAAAACCCACCAAAACATAACACAAAGGGAAAGCTACAAATTAGCTAAAAGCTAATTTTCCATTTGCAGCAAAACAGAGAAACCTGTAAGAATGAAGATACTGAACCACTACCTTTCTGGATGATGGTTATTTACTGACCGGACTTAACTTTTAATATCAACATACCCTGTCTTTTGAAAAGATTCAAGGAATAATTTCAGAGAACTTCACAGAACCAAGCCTCACAACTCTGTGAAGGAAACTGGACTCTTTTTCTGTTTTTTAAGATGTAAATTTATAAATACGCTTTTTTTGGGGACTACATAAGAACCTTAAGAACATTCTTTATTCTCAGAAATTTCCGACCATACCATGACGTAGAACTTAGCGGTGCCTTATTTTGACCCAAGCCCCTGCAACGTCATCTCAGATAACATTTAAAATTTTATTCTTTCTAGGAAGGCAGTTTAGCACATTTTTCTGATATCAAGCAAACGCTATTATTCTTAACACAGAGATCTCTGCCATAATGAACTAGTACGATTTTCCTGGAAAATCTGCATTCCCATGACACAAAAGTCATTAAACTTTTAAAGTCACAGTTGTGGGTTATAGGGTTTTCTTAAAGCACCAACGTTATTAAAGTTTATTAACAACATTATTCAACGTAACAACAACATGGTTTTAAGTAATTTTCTTCTTATATTAACGGTAGAGCATGCTGAAAAATATCAATCTGCTCCTGATAACGCCTCACTTTTTTTTTTTTTGCAAATATTCTGCATCAAATTCCTGTTTATCAACAGACATAGCATGATGAAAACTGTTTTGGAAGTGTTTGCCAATGAGAACAACAAAAAGGCATGAAAAAGCCATTGCTTTAGTTATCAAAAATACATTCAAAATATTGGCAAGCTACACATCCTGCAAAGACCTGTGACTTCACTGGAATTCTTAAACACTTCCAAATATCCCACTTGCCAAATATACTCCAGTTTTGCAGGTCTGCTTAGATACTACAGCTTCATGTGCTGAATATGCCTTGACAGTACATTTCTGCCAAGTCATAACAAGCAGCTCAGCTGGATAATCTCCTGAACGTGATGTAGGTCCAAAACCCACAGTTTCAGTTCAATCTTAAGCAGGCATTCAGAGACGCTTCTTCTAAGCTAACATCAAATTAGCAGCCTGTTAAGTAACAACATTAATTCAAAAGAGGTGTATTCTACCAGAATACTTATATTCAGTTCTGAATCATCTTTTTCCAGCATGTTGAAGTATGGCTTTCCATGCAAAATTTGATTTTACACCATACTCAGTGTTCTACAACCTATGAACAATTTGTTTCAGTATCTTTAAAGGCAACCCCCACCAAGTACTGAGTTGAGTTCAAATTCAGACACACATGACAAAGAGCTTTGTCGCTAACACACACATTTTTAAGGAGGGGAGGAAGAAGGAAACTGCAATGACAAGAAGGTTATGGAGCAAAAAGCACTATTTTAATAAAACTATTACAAGCATTGTTTCTACTTCTCTTTAGCCTTCTCTTATACAGATATTTGCATTGTACTTACCCATACCATAAGAAGCCTTCTCTGAGGTATTGGAGCACTTTAATTATATAACCAAAATTAATTATCATTTATGAAAAAACACCAGTCCCCCAAACGAACAACAGAACCCAGCCCCTACCTGAACACACGCGTGCACACACACACACAGAGTCATGTATTATTACCATAGGGTATTCCAAGGCGCTCCTGCTCCTTTCGGTAGCCTTCCAACGCTGCCGCCCATCGTGTCACTTGTTCAGAGGTTTCATCTGAAATTGTTGTAATATGTTTTGTTCCATCCAAGGTTATCACTTGAGCTTCCTCAACAAGGTGAGCTTCAGCCTCTGTGTGATGAGCATCTGGATCAATCACTACCTCCACAGTCTCCACAGGCTTCACAATTTCAAGGATGTTTAACTTGGGCTCTATCCCTAGGTATAGAAAAGAACAAACACAAAACTTAAAGACAACAATGCAAATATGACAAAAAGGTTGTTTTAAAGCTTTCTGATTAATAGGTGTTCGCATACTTAGGAAAGAAGCATGACACAAAAGCATCATCAAATTTCTGCAAGTGTCCTAAACTAGAATGACATATTCTATTATACAGTATATACTTTAGTAAGGTGAATACAAAGCTGTCCCTCTTTCCTCCCCCAGTATTACAGCTTCCTGTTGTACTTAGGTGATCCATTTCACATATCTTGAACAGAATGTTCAGCATGCGGGCATAAAGAACAAGTATTTTGGTCTGTGAGAAATACACCGAACCAAAGGAAAAAAAAGCAAACCCCAAAAAAACAGAACAAGCATCCACCTCTTTCCCCCAACCAAGAGGCATTTCTCTCAGCCTTTACAATATTTCCCTGCTATCTCTGGGGTCTACACACAGGAGTTAACATTTTTTTTCAGTGCTCTGCAAGAGGCAGTGTGTTCAACAGCAAGTTAAAAGAAAACTAGAAAATTCTTAATGTTTTAAGCTTCATCAGCTACTCATGTTTTGGTTTTATGTCTGTCATTTAAGATATTAGACCACGGAGTTAGAAGATATGTCTGTATCTATTCTGCAGCGATAAAGAACACATTCGCTAATGCTACTAATGCTTTGTATCACCACCTTCTCTGTTGTCTTCTGAGAAGGTATTTTGTCCAACTGGTGCCTCACCAAATTTCTGACACTGTATAGAAGATTTTTCTTGTCATTATAATATGCTAAACAGAAAAAAATTCTTTCAATTTTTGTGACATATAATTTCCATTATATTAACAACTAACCACCACACTTCTTTAAGAGATTTTTATCAAACCTATTTGCACATTTAAAAAGAAAAAATCTGTGAAATTCCATTTTATTATGACTTGGAAAACCTTGACTAGGGTTAGGCAGTTGAAAGTAGGATTCACAGAACATCACACAGCCAGAATATCTTCAGTATCTTGTGCCGTAAGGAATTAGAGTCCCTCCTGTCTAATCTATATTAAAGCTCAATGGGAGATGGTAGGTTCTGGAGGTGACCATCTTAAAAGCTAGAACCACAATCCATTCACAGTTCGTAAGGGAAAACAAATGTACCTGTAGTACAGGTAAGAACAAACCAAGTCTTTTTCAGACAAGTATTCCTCTAGACTTTAAAAGGAATTCAGCTTGAAAAAAATATTAGAAAGGGAACACTACAAAGACCGTTAAGTACAACACGCAGCAATATGAACTTAAGGAAGTGAAAACAGATGTAGACAACCAGTAAGTGGTTGATTAGATGAAGCAATCATGAAGAAAAAGCAAACAAGTACCTTCCTTACGAGAGTGTTTTATCTAGGCCATCTAAGATTAACATGTGCAGCACAGGCTTGTTTTAAAGTCAGATAGAAATGGGTAAGGGAAAACAATAAGGGTTAAGGTTTTATTTTTGATCTTCAAAAAAGAAAGTAAAGAAAAAAAGCTTCTAGAGAGGAACAGTTCACTATTGCTCAATAAAATTAATTCAGTGTCTGTCAAATAACTACATGTCAAAAGAACTGTGAATCTACTGCTCTATTCATAATGCAAACATGGAGATCAAAGAGATTAGTCTCTGTAGAGGAACCAGCTTATAAGTAAAAATGTTGTGAAGTTAACAGTCTGCCACCTAACCTACTGCAATGTTAGATCAACATTAGTTCACTGGGTTTGTCTGCATCCCTTCTCACATCTCTCTGCATAAGAAAACAGATGTCCAGTCTTCCTTGGACAGCATATAAGTTGTGGAACACAATGTGACAAAGTCACACACCCCAGAAGCACAAACTGGTACAAAAAGTACAAAAAATCAAGGACATTAGCTATCAAGACACAAGCCCCTTCACTGTTAATTGTCTGAAGCTAGAGAATATACTAGGGTTAAAACTGACCTACAGGCAACCTGGTTTTTTTGTTTTTTTTTTTTCCCTTGAAATGTCTAATATTAACCACAGCCAGAGACAGGACATTAGTCAAACTGCACCTTTAATCTAAATCAGTATGTTTCATTATACTTATGAATCATTCCTTTACACACTAAAAATAATAAAAGTCTAGTTATTGCAAAAAACCAGCTTAGAAACCACAGCCAAATGAGGAGTTACACACTTAAAACAGGACTCAGACTTCAGCTACCTAAATCCAAAGAACCTTTTGTGCTTAACTATCACTTAGTCCCAAAATCTGTGTAAGTATCTATAGTACAGCTACATACACATGCTCAGAAATTCTCAAAGCAGCTATACACTAACCTCTCACGTCAGACAAGCGTTTAAAAAGTAGGTGGAACAGCATCTGTTTGGGAAAATATTAATCTTGCAGGTGTGCTTTGGGTATGCATAACAGACAGAACTGAGCTCAACACAAACAGCAGCTACAGACACTTTCATTCACAAACACAGCCTTGACTTGTTTAAGTTTGTGTATGCATACCTGAACAACTTGAATGGCAGGTTGACTGGACTACCTGTTTGTATACTTTGCAAACAACAAGAAATAGACAGCAAAACTACACTGTCCACGTCCATAATACAGGTCTCTCTCCTCTCACTGCTCAAACCAATGACTGTCAGAGATCACTGCTCTCATTCTAGCCCTTTTAATCTAGTATCTCTGTCTCCCGCAGTTCATCTGAAAAAAATGTGGCAAGTACTTCCATTCAAGCTCGCCTCTACTCTGTTGATTAAGGAAGTAGAAAAAGCAAGAAAAGATTCCTCAGGTGACAGACTGCCAGCCAGATCTTCCACCTCTGAAGTTTTCCCAAAACAAGATTTCAACCTATGCCATACACCCAGCACTGGAATTTACAACCTGAAAAGTTTATCTTCCCTCCCTCCCTCCCCATTTCTTTTCTTTAAAAAAGAAAAAAAAAAAAATTAAGCAACTAAAGGTAGGGTCAGAATCCATTTTATCATATCTCAAGAAAAAAACCACCTATCAACAGTAACAGCTTAAGGATGGCAAATCTTAATCTGATATTATCTACAGTCAGACAGGCAGGAGAAAGCCTTGATCAGATATAACTTTTGTCTGCATTTAACAAAAAAAAAAAAAAAAAAGAACAAAATATTTGCTATGGAGGTCTTAAAAATTAAAGCTTTTTTCAAATTCTTTGACATACGATGCAATGCAGTTACTCAGATCTCCACAGACTTGCAAGAGGCTTAGTTCAGAGTAGTACAGAACCGGGCTGCACTCAAAATTGCTGTTCTCACAATGGCAGGAAAACCATATACATCTCCATTCTTCAAACCAGAAGAAAGGAGTTAAGGCAAGGTGGAGTGACAGAATGGTCTTTCTAGTAAAAAGAATAAATAGGACTGATATTTTATCTGCTGTAACTCATATTAAGATATCTTTGTATGAAATGCTATAAAACAACTACAATGGACTATATTTCAACCGGTTGTTATTCCTTTGAGTTTACAGATGGCTAATCAAAATTTGATAGAACACGAACTGACATAACAGCTTTTCTCTTAAGAAATAAGAGAGTCCAATCCATCACAGGGATTAGCATCACCGATTACTGCTAGCTGAATTCTATGTATTATACAAGTTAGGGAAAAATAAAAAATAAGTAAATAGAGAATCTTTCAATACCTCATCCATACAAGAAAAATATGCAGATGGCATAAGCAGCTATTTTTTCCCTCTGGCTCAAAGGGACGCTGCAGTCAGAGTAACAAGTCCATTTCCCTGTTAGTGATCCAAATATCTTCCTTTTATTATTTACATCCAAGCTGTTTGTTTTCTGATATTCTGTCCTGCCATATTTTACTTGCCTTCAACAGACAGATTTCTTACGAGTTGCTTAAGTGTCAAGTATCATGGCCTGAAAAACAACACTGAGGATCATTCCGAAGTTATACAAAGGTACTTAACACTCAGGTGTTTCTTTTAAGGAGAGAGAGAGAGAGAGTGAAAGGTGCGGGGGGAAGCTCCTTGTGCTATATGGTCATGCACCTCAGTTTTACATTAAAGACGGAAAAAAAAACCCACAGGAAGAAAATGGAAGATAATAGTGAAGACATTTATCACCTGCATCCTTTTGAAAATGGAAGTCTGAGCACTGCATACTACAAGTTACTGGGCATGAATTAAGAGCCGTTATTCTAGTTGCCTGAAGGATATTTCTACTCTATTTTTAAAACCAGAAAGGTAGTTGAATCCCCATTACATACGGATTGAACCTAGCACTAGTCACCTGACACTCAGCATTAAATGCAAATCGTCAGTCTTACTTAATACTGTTAATACAAAACAGAAAGGCTTTCTTCTCTCTAATCTACACTGAAGCCACAAGAAAATAAAACATGCTCCCCAAATTTTGCTAATCTGCTTTGCTGACATAACTCAAAACAGATAATCAAAGATACCCTACTCCAGTAGGAACCTTTTGTCACTGTTTGTTTGAAAATATGGCAACAAACACCCGTAGCTGTTCCCAGAGCCCAACATGAATGTTGACTTCAGTGAGTGATGGCAGTCCTTCCACTCAAGACATATGGAGGGGGCAAAGGAGAAGAATAGGACAAAAAGCAAAACAATGAAGCTACTAACTCCTGAGAATTTACAAGGGGAAATCCTGTTTGTCCTGGTTTCGGCAGGGATAGAGTTAATTTCCTTCCTAGTAGCTGGTACAGTGCTGGGTTTTGGATTTAGGATGAGAACAATGTTGATAAGGCACCGATGTTTTAGCTGTTGCTAGGTAATGCTTACACTAGCCAAGGACTTTCTAGTTTTCCATGCTCTACCCACTGAGAAGGCTGGAGGTGCACAAGAAGCTGGGAGGGGGCACAGCCAAACTGGCCAAAGGGACATTCCATACCATGTGACGTCATGCTCAGTACATAAACTGGGGGAAGCTGGCCGGGGGGGCCGCTGCTCGGGGACTGGCTGGGCATCAGTCGGCGGGTGGTGAGCAATTGCACTGTGCATCACTTGCTTTGCATATTATTATTATCATTTTATGTCAATTATTAAACTGTTTTTAGCTCAACCCATGAGTTTTTCTCACTTGTGCTTTTCCAGTTCTCTCCCCCATCCCACCGGGGAGGGGGGGGGAGTGAGCGAGCGGCTGCGTGGTGCTTAGTTGCTGACTGAGGTTAAACCATGACACTGTTATACCTGACACTACAAGCAAATAAAAACTATGCATCAGCAAATCCCTACCCACCTGGTTAAAGCTCCTCTGTCACAACCGTTTACTCTGACTTCTCATCCAAAGAAAACAGACAATAGATAGCGGTCCTAGCCTTTCATACCAATTTTCAGTTAGCTATATATACTCTCATAACCTAATTGTTCATGAATCACACAAGCTAACTCACCTCACAAAGATGAAATTGCCACCTACTTAGACAAAAAAATCTTTTGCCTGCTTAGATACTTGGTCTGGTTTGAGTAACTACTCACCCTTAATGAAAGCCTCATACTGTAACTGTCACTATTTGACCCAGGTTTGTTTGGGTTTTGGTTTTGTTTTGCCCTTTTTTTTTTTACTTAGAAATTGATACGAAGTTACTATAAAAAACATTTCAAATAGCATCAGTCCATGACATTTATTTTAATTACTACTACTTAAAACCACAGTACATAATGAAAGAGACATTCTGAAGCTATGTGACCATTCAGCGATTTTCTCAATTTTACAGCTAGAAATAGTAGGGGATTAGGTTTCCTCACAAGCGCTCCTACAATATTAATTTATCTGTACAACAGAAAAACATAACTGCTTACCTTGCCTAGATATTACTTGCACACTGAGTTGCACTGTTCCATCTGTTTTTACTCCTTGGTCAAAAAGGCTTCTATCTGCGTCCAGCTTGATAAAAGCAAAAAAATTAAAAATAGGTATTAGTCTCACAGTTATAAGAAACTTATTCTCCTTTAAACTTTAGAAACACTTAGTGTCCGCAGCAAATTTTCTGAAGAAGCGTGCAAATATTTTTAGTACTATGTAGACATAGTACATGACAGAAAGAATTTGATCGGAATTTGAAACTCGCCACTCTCTTCTGTTTAAGGTAGTTTCACTTGCAAGGACATTTTTTAACCTAAAAAAAGCAATGCAATACCTGGAAGTACCTTCACTTTGTGAAAAGTATCTACAGTTCCTTTTCTCAGTTTTTAACACCTTCATAAAAATTCTTGTCTTTAAAGCAGTATTCTCCCTGTTGTTTCTGGAAAGCCACAGATGTCTGATTATAACTACAAATAAAACATGCAGCTAAACACAATGCGACACAGTCATACTGTCTAACGTGTGGTGATGCCTGTACAAATAGTGGTGGTGCCGGGGAATTTCTTGAGTAACGTTTTGCTATCTGTGCACCTTAATAGTATAAAAACCTCGCTTTATTCAGATTCAAAACAAGATTAGACACACGGAAGTTCAGGCAGCAACAAATGATGTGGGCTACCTCAAGAGAAGATAGTATTGTCGTTGCCCTCATTCTTCTTTCACTTGCAAGGTGGTAATTTGTTGCTTTCTCACCCTCACCCCAGGAACCCCGAAAGTATTTTGATTTTATTCACACTGAATTAGTGTGTACATATTAAATGGTTTGATGATAATGAACCTGACATAAAATTAAACTCTTAATTGTAATTAATATACCAAATGAAGCATGAATTCCATGACCAATGGAAGAAAGGGACGAAGTATGTAAAAATGCTTCTCCATTAAGAGGTTAAATCTTTCATAGCCTTTCAATTTACCTGGATATCTTGCAGGCAAATTTCATGTGCATCCAAGGAACATTGCAGTCTGGGTTCCAGCAACTTCTTAAGATTTCCAATTGGTTCATTGACGTCAATAGCTTGACTCACAAATTCTGCTGTGGTGTAGGTTTGCTCAACAATGCTTAAATACCAAATTAATACAACAAATCATTACCTACATGTTAATACGGTAGGTATAGGAAAGCTTAAAGAAAGTTAGAAGTAAACTACATAAAAGGTAATCCTGACTCTGAAATGTTAATACCATGCAGAAAAACTCTTAGCTTGAGTAGTGAGTGAATTACTAAATTTGGTCCCATTGATTTTACAGTTCTGTAACTCTTCTTTTACCCTGTCGCTGTTAAAAGGCAAGGTTAAATACCAAGATTATTTTCAGATCACCGTTTTCAAGAGATTAAGTCATGATTACTATATTATATATTATTAACTTGCATGTGGAGTAAACTAATTCTGTTTGCCTTGCCTAGACTGGATGTAAAAGATATTCAAGTTCAAAAACAAACACAGAAACTTAACAGATAGGGAAAAAAAGAAGTAAAAAACGTCCACTGTCATACAGAGTACTTGTCCATGTCTTTTCACCAGTCAGCTTCACGCGTACAAGAGACAACCAGAAGGAACTACTACAGCAACATGGAGCCTTGAAGGAAACATTAGTCATGCGTCATGGTTGTCCTGCACTAAAATGATGACAGTATTGGCGTAGGCACTCAGAAACATCAATGTTATGGACTCTTAACGTCTTAACAACGACCTTAAACAGTTGTTCTCTCTACATTTACACAGAAGGAAATCAGAAAGTATACAGACATAGTCAGTTTGTAAGTAGCAAAAATATACAAGGAGCTCAGAATAAGAAGAAACTAGTAAGTGGTTTTGAATCAGTTCTCCAAAACAGGTTCTTAAAGAGCAGGTCACCTACCAGCCTCAGCTATTTCTATCCAACACATTAACTGCCTCTCTGTGCTTTCAAAAGCAGTTGTAAAAATTAGGAGGGAAGCATTAGGAAGAAAAAAACAGGTTGCGGTAATTAAGTCAAAGGATATCAGACTTCAGTATCTAGGGTTTCAATGGCCCTAACAACAATATAGTCAATAGATACAGAACATCATTTCTGCTCTGTTAAAAACAAATGACCCTGTATAACAGCCAAGCAATGGACTGGAGAATCTGAAAGGTTCATCTCAATTACAGAAGGATACACTGAAGCTGAAAGGTTTGCAGCATGTACATGTAGACATATTCCTACAGATATGAAAGTAGGGGAAGAGAACTACTAAGAACATAGCAAGAGATAAACAAAACCGTTTGGGATTTAAGCAATTAAGATTGAAGAACATGATAGCACTACACGGGTTTCCTATAGTGGCTACAGTTCCACTTCAAGAAAACCACCATTTAATTAGATAAAAAACAGAAAAACTGAAGAGAGCACAAGCAAAACTAAGAACTTCGTATCCAGCAAGGAAGTTGAAAAACTGTGGAAACAATCAACAGCAGGATTACAGAGATCATACTGAGCCAGTTACTTCTGCCAGTTTAAAGTTACTTCTTTTGCCTAGCTAGAAAACACTTGTACTTATTTCATAACCGTGGCCATCTCTGAAGCATTACACAATACCCAATAATAAATCTGAATAACCAAACTTAGTGTGTGCAGTCACAAATCTGAAACCAATTAAAGAAAACAAATAAATAAATTAATTGCAGCCTAAGGACCCCAAAAAGCAAAGACAGTACATACCTTTCTTCAGTGCATTCCTGTTTCTCAGTTCCATCAATTTCTATTTCTATCAGCTCCTCTGCCTCTCTCTTAGTCATGGCTAAAATGTCTTAAGAACAGAGCTATGAACAGAAAAGAATTTTTTTTTGTAAGTCACAGACCAACAAAACTAGATAATGGGTTGCGTCCCATCAAACATTTTTTAAACCAAATACCAGGATAGCTTGTTAAAGACAAGAATTCACCTAAAAAATAAAGCCAAAAGCTAATACAGGTTTCACAAATAGATTACAACACCTGTTCCTCAAACAAACGTTCTAGGGGCAATTCCAGGACTATAAATGGACATTAGCACAGAGCCCAAAACCTGATTTTCTTGGAGGCATCCGAATTTACTGAATGTTTTTGTTATGGGCTGGCTACAGCTTTTAGTGGCTGGTTGCAAAGAACTTTGAAAATTCTTTGAAAGTTACGTGTATTTTGCCATCCAGATTCAGCTACATACTACCCTCCTAGCAAGGCTGAAAGACGCTGCTTATAAATTTAAGCAGCATTTTACATAAAATGCTGCAAAAGGAAGCTAGACACAAGATCCATGATTTCCTCATAGATAAATAAACTCAACAATAAAGTGTTTATTGACTGTCCCATCTTTCCACCTATCCCTCTCACGGGCGATCACTTGATGATACGTGCATAATGAATGCATTTTGTTAAGTCCCAAACTAATGCAGTATGTTAGCAATTAAAGGGAAAGCTATTCTGTGACGATATTCTCATTGACACTGCAGATTTTCACACCCTGTAGAATACTGGAGTCTGTTGGAACGTTAAGGGGGAAAGAAAGAATTACAACTTTTGGTCTGTAAAGACATAGTTTGTATATTATCATGTTTCACTAACCATCCCATACATCATAAGTATGAAATACATACGATAAAGAACTGGGCCAAATTATATTAACAGTTTACAATAAATAATGCCACCAACTCATAGGAAGAGGAGTAGGAAGTAGGAGTCCAGAGGAAAAAAAGTAACAGTAGTAAAAGCAAAACACGCTGCTGTTTAAACGTCCACAATAGAAGAGATTAGCAAGGTTTCCATCCTGGAATCATTCTTTCCCAGGGACTACTCTATCCCAAACCCAACTGTTAGTAAGAGAATTTATTAAAGACAAGTTAATAAGGGAACTTACTATACTTTAAAACTTCCCAAAAGGAACAGCAAGCAACTACGTCGTACAGTTGTTACAGAAAAGGTTTAAAGAAATTCAAACTACTCATCTTATTATCTCCTTGAAAAACTATTATGTAAAATTACTTTTGAAGAAATCAAGTGCTGCATGTGGTATCAATCTGTAAGAAGCTACCAGGGCTAGACAGGAAGTAAACAGCACCTCGTTAATATCTCACCGCTAGAAGCAAAACCAGAATCTGTTCTGCTCACAGATCTGGCTCTGTGAAAATCCCCTAACTGCCAGGGTAGGGTCCACTGAACTGGAGTGGTAGCGGCCACTGAACAGAGTCCTGGGAGTCCCATTTCCGTATCACTTAATCTTGTATATCATCTTCATGATAAATGGGGAAGAACGAAACACCACTTCTGAAGAATGCCGACAAGCTTAATTAGATATCTGAAAGAACCGACACCTGCATGATTACTGGTGATCTGGTTGACTGTTAAAAGATTTTTCGAAATTCAGGTTTGAGCAGAGTCCCTTACTGAAAACTCCCACAGAAGCTAACTGGTACCATAAAAAAGGGGGGAAATTCTTCCCTGTATTAGCAATCAGATTAAAACCCCAAACCAACAAGAATAAGTTTTTTTGGGGTTTTTTTTGTGAGGGAGTTTACCAGTAAGGTCACAAAAGGGGTTAGGCTAGATTTCTTATTATTTATTTATTGAGAAAACTGTGCAGACCTGCAGAAAGAACTCACCATCTTGAATCATTTCTGGCAGAAAATATTCAATATGGGTAAACGCAAAGTGATGCGCTGTGAGTAAATACTGTAACAGCACAGTAACTGTATAGAATAGGTAAGACATTTTAAAGTCCTTATCGATTGGACTCCAAATTGGCAGCTGGACTAGTCACTGTTCACTCGCTCTTCAAAGGCGGTTTGCAGTTGCATCTCGCAGGCTCTACTACATTTCTGGTTGCCCTGGGGAGGTAGGAGCGGGGAGCACAGGCACAGACAGCAGATACAGAAAGAGAAAGAAAGATGGTTCCATTCAGCACAGATGCAAGAAAGGGAGATGACGGGTGGAAAGAGGAAGAATAACATTATGAAAACATGTAAAGTCATTAACAGTTCAGAGAAACC